GTGTGTTTGTGTGCCGGGGTACACTCATAGTCATGGATGTAGCTCTGCCTGTTTCTCCTGGACTCCGGAAGGCAGGAGCCAAGAGTCTTATCTATAAGTGCGGGGAAAATCCCCATTGTACTTAATTAGCACATGGCATTTCCTCAATATCAGGCAGAATTCCAGGCACTTTTTGAACATTATCTTATTTAAGCCACAACTACTATTGCTATCTTATTTTATAGATGAGAAAACCATGGCACAGAGAGATAAATTGATTTACCTGAGTTTTTATGGCCAGTGTGTAACTCTGAAGTACAGGATCTTAGCCAGGATGCTGGACTGCCTGCATGTGCTCTTTTTGGAGCTGTGAGTTTGACCACCTCTCACAGGACTGGGGATATAGCTCAGTTGGTAGAATGCTTGCCTTGAATACATAAGGCCCTGGGTTCAATCCCCAGCACCACCAAAAGCGTTAGGGATATAGCTCAGTGGGACACTTCCTACCATGCATGAGGCCCCCTAACAGTGTAAAACAAAGACAAAAACAAGTGGGTGCATGCCTGTAATCCCAGGTGCTCAGAAGGCTGCAGGTTCAAAACCAGCCTCAGCAAAAAAAACCGAGGTGCTAAACAACTCAGTGAGATCCTGTCAACTCAGTGAGACCCTGTCTCTAAATAAAATACAAATAAGGCTGGGGATGTTGCTCAGTGGTCAAGTGTCCCCGAGTTCAACAATCCCCCGGTACTAAAAAGACAAAAACAAAAAAACCACTGAGGACTTACTATGTRTCAGGCTGTATACTAGGAATGTCCCATGCATTTATTTTAGTTCATCCTCACAGTTAATCCCTGAAGCTCATATTAATTATTCTCTATCACACATGAGAACCCTGAGGCTCAGAGAGGTTAGGAACATGCCCATAGCTCACAACAAGGAAGTTGCAAAATTGGAATTTGAACTCACACTATAGAGCTCACACTCTTGCCAGACCAGTTTTCAGTTTGTTTGCTTTAATTTTTTTTTCTTCTTGTGTTGGGAAATGAACCCAGGTCCTTGACCATGCTAAGCACATGACCTACTACTGAGCTACAATCCTACCCCTGCTGACTTTTTTTAAAAAAATATATATTGCCCAGGGTGGAGTGCCCTGGCTATTCACAGGTGTGATTCCATTAGAATCAGCACATGCAACCTGGTTGATAGTCCCCTGCTCCTGGGAGGTCACCATATTGGTGCTGAATTAGTGTAGGCACTTGATCAGTATAGTGCACTGTCGCCTCCCCGTAGCTGGGATTATAGGCATGCACCACCACACTCAGCCTGTTTTCTAACCTTTTTTAAAAATCGAAGTGAAATTCACATAACAAAAATTGTAAATATTTCAGCCAAGGTGATGTCATGGGTCTATAGTCCCAACTCCTCAGGGGAACCTGAAGCAGGAGGGTTACTTGAGCCCAGGAGTTCAGGGCTAGCCTGGGCAACAGAGCCAGGCCCTCCCTGTCTCTTAAAAAAATTGTAATTTTTTTTTTTTTGTGGTGCTAGGGATTGAACCCAGGGCCTTGTGGTTTTAAGGCAAGCACTCTACCAACTGAGCTATATCCCCAGCCCTGAAAAAATTGTAAATATTTTTTTTAAA